TTAAAAAACCTTGCTTCAACTCGAATCTGGGTAATTTGCATAAATTTACATTGGAACAATAACAGGCTTTGTTTCCTGCCTGCCACCTGCATCACACCTGGCCACTTCAGCTGCAAAAACATATTATGGAAGAATCACCATTTTTCTCAGGTGTTGCTTGGAGTCTCATCTGTAGACTCCAGCTATTTTCCCCATTAAACATTTTTAATAATAATAAAATAATAAATTATTTTATAATAATAAAATGTTATTTTATAATAATAAAAATATATTGTATTTTAAAATATATTATAAAATATAATAATAATAATATATTTTCTAATAAAATAATAATTATTTAACAATAATATTGTAAAAGCTCCATTTACATTTAAAACCCTCTTTTGTGGTTTCTATGCTAACACATACATGCACCATGGCCTGATAAAAGTCCTACCTGCAGAAATGCTGTAAAAGCACCCACACTCAGGAGGGGAAGCTCTGGCTATGCCCAGTGGAGCCTGGGCAGCAACAGAAGGACAAAAGAAAAATGCCTGGCTGGATCGAAAGGAAAATTTTACTCTATTTATTAAGTACTCTAGATCCACAGTTGTTATCAGAATTTTGCTTTTTCAAAGTTTAACATTTTCAAGCATTGGGAAAATGAATTCCTTCCCTCCATCCTTACTGCAGTTAAACTCAGGGAGTAACACAAACCTGCAGGAGCACTTTGGTGGTTTTCCTCCAAACCCAGCTCTGAAATAAATTGCTTTTTCTTGCAATCCCAGGCCTTGTTTTGCTCTGGTTGGTGACAATCTGTGTCTGCTAGGCTGTACAACCACACACGTGGCTGGCAGCCTGCTTTGAAAGGAAGGATAACAAGGCAGAGTGATCCCATTAGCTCCGATTTTTGTTGGTGCTTGTTCCCTTTAATCCCAACAGGTTTGTTGTGTCAGCGTGGTGTAAAGGTTATGTTGGCACATAAAAGCACAGCTCTGAAACACCAGGTGGGGCTGGGTTTTGAAATGGAACTGTAAAGTCAGGCCCTTTGCAAAGGAAACAGGTGAGTTTTAGAAATACTTGCAGCTTTACCATGAAAAACGTGGCTTGTTCAACACAGCATCAATTACTGGTCTTGTAAATGTTTTGTAACAGCATTTGTGACAGCTGTAAAAGTTTGTAACAGCATTTGTGATCTTTGGGATTTTCAGAAAAAGAAAACCACCCTTAATTGTTGCTTCACCACTGCCTGGTTTTCCTCCAAAGGGAAATTCCAAGGCAGGAATACCCAGTGCCCCAGACCAGGGCAGGACTTGTGCTGTTTTATTTCCACTGAAGCATACAAAGTCCAACACAGCCTCTCTTACAGCCAGTTACACACACTGCTCCCTTCCCTTTGCTACCTCTGAAGCAGCAAAATGAGCACCAGTGAGGCAGACATGGCACAGTTACTCCACTGCTGCTGCTTCTCCTCTCCCTGCTCCAGGAACAGCTGCTCCATCACATTGGAAAATGACAAATGATACCCAAAAGCCTGTAGACAAAATTCATTTCTCCTTCTGTAATTCTCATTTAGATTTAGGTAACAGAAGTTGAGTATCATTTGACTGTAATGCATTGGTTTGTGCTTTGTCAAGTCTCTAAAAACTCTCTCAGAGGTTTTCCAGCAAAAAACAATGCTGATATAATTAAAAAAAAATAATCGGGAGATCAAACAATTTATTGAGCACACTTCAGCCTCAACTACCAGACTTGTCCAAGCACAAAGTTCAGTATCAGAGTCTAGGTGTATCCCTGGTTTATGATAGTGAATATGGCATTACTTATTCCAGAGTTCACCAGCACACTGGAACCTGAGTAAATATTCTGATTAATCATACAGAGAAGACTACATGGCACTAAGATGCATCTACATGCCAGTTACTGCAAGTGCAGTCTCACAAATACTTTTTTCATAATGAAAACACAAATCTCTCTTGGCAATATATGAAGAACTAGTTCACAGTTTTTGAATTATTTCAGTAACACCCCACTTGTAGTAGAGAAAGACCTGTTTTAAAGAAATAATCCCAGAATCCAAATGCAAGAACTGTAAAATACACCATAAAAACATCTGCAGAGATTTTATAGGATTCAGGCACTGTCAATGTTGAAAAATATCTCGGTCCTTTTTTTAAGATGTTTTAGCTGGTTGCTGATGATCAGGTTTGTCTCCACCTCCTTACTTATCCATCAAATATAAAACTATCAAATCTTTGTTTATCTTCAGTTTGACTTGTGGTTACACACAGGAATACCACAACCAATTAGGGAATGAGGTAAATCACACAGAAAAAAAAAATTTACCATTGCAAGCTTATTTTTGAACTAAAAAAAATAGAAGTAAAGTTGTATTAAGTATTTTTATACCATTACCTTCACATAAATTCACAGGAGGAGTCACAAGCTCTAGAACTATTTGTACCAATATGATTAAAAATTGATTTAACTGTCCTAGACATGTACTGGGCAAAGGGCTCAGTTTTTTATTACTGGGACTTTCACTGGTGCCAACTGAACAGCTGATTCCTGGCAGTGAGAGGGAAACTGCAAACCAAACAATTCCCGTGCTGTTTTCTAATCAGAACTCCAGAAAAATACCAGCAAACCAACCATGCTCTGTCCAACAGGGTACAAAACCTTTATTCACCAATAAGTTAGAAGTGTTCTTATAAATAGATGTTGTAGTCTTTTGTACTCTGCAGCGAGCCTGAGGCCAGGCTGGGTCACTCCTCGGACTCGGAGCCCTCCTCGTCCTGGCTGATCTGGAAGTAGCGCAGCTCGTACGTCTCCTTGTCGGACGCCACCACGCGCAGCCAGTCCCGCAGGTTGTTCTTCTTCAGGTACTTCTTGGTCAGGTATTTCAGGTACCTGAAAGCAGCAATTTCACCTTAGAAGCTTCTCACTGGACACCCCCTGCTGCTGTCTGCATGCCACCCCAGACAATGTCTTGAGCAGGGCAGTACCACAGTGATTATACCCAGAAACAGGAAAATTTCACATGTAGCAGGCAATAAAAGGATATTTTCACTACAGATATGCAGGAATTTATCATTCATTTGACATAATGAATAATAAATAGCCGAATGAACTAATACTAACAAAATGCCAGTAACTAGACAGCACTGGTAACTGGTTCTAAACCTTGGTCTAACATAACAGATTCTGCTGCACCTGTATCAGCAAACAAAGGGGAGGATTTGTACCTCCCATCAGTGCACTCAGCTCTTGTTTGTCCTAACAAACTCAACAGTTCCAGGCCTGAAGGGTTTGTTTGCAGCAACCCACATGAAGCACACATCTGTTATAATACAACCGATTAAATAATCAAACAGCCACCCACTATATTAATTCAGTGTTATTTTAAAGGTCCATCTTCCACTGATACACTGCCAAGGACCTATATAAAGTATCTCTATTAATATGCTTAGAGTCAACGTTAATTAGCAATCAAGCCTTGAGTTTCAAAATGAGATTTTTAAATATCTGATATAATAAATCTGTTTCAATTACATGTTTCACTAATATTTACAAGTGCCATGACGGTTAGAGCTAACACCTCTCCAAGTATCAGAAGTGCACTAATTGGAATTCATTTTGCAGGCAAGAGCTGAATATTAATGTGTATTTATGGGACATGGATTAGTGGTGGATTTAGCAGTGTAAGGTTTATGGCTGGACTTGCTGATTGTAAGGACCCCTTCCAAGCTAAATTACTCTAGTTTTACACCCAACATCCCACAGTTCAAACCCCACAAACACAGCAGAATGAAACCCATGCCAACCTTTTAGAAAACTGCTTCTCTGACGTTACTGTGATCTTGTTCTTCAGACGTTCAATGTGAACGGTGTTGCCCAAGTTTCCAGTTTTCCCATTGACCTTAACCTTCTCCTTTAGGAACTGCTCCTGTTTCAACATTAAAGACATAGAACACTAGGGAATGGCACCCTAGGTATGAACTAGGGAAGGGACCCTAGTCAGGAAGCAACATTAAAAATCACCATTTACTTATGTCCTGACAGAAGTATTTACAACACAAAAATATTTTACAGCACGTAATTATAAAAAAAAAACCCCCGTGCTCAACCAGAAATTAATTTAAAACAGTTCTATTAATGGACAGGTATGCAACATGCCATAAAATCTTTTTTTTTTTTTAATGGCAGTTTTTTAGAGAACAGTTGGTGATTTCAGTCATTTAGAATGTAGCTTTTCAACTGTAACTCAGTTACTGCACTAAGGTTATTATTAAACTATGCGTCACAAGTATGAGCGAAACCACGACTTACAAAATTCCCGGAATCAAAGATTCCATCTTCCACAGGATGGGTCAGGTCAAGGCAAAACTTCCAGGTTGACTTTTTGGACTTTCGGTCCTTTTGCTGGAACATTAAAGAATTTCTCACCATTAACAAACTTCCCGACCCAAGGAGGGACCCACATGGCGGCGGGAGCGCCACCTCCCGGCCAGCGCGGTTCACTGCAGCCGGCCCGGCGCGGCCCGACGCGGCCGCCTCCCACATGAAACCCTCCCGGGAAAGCCCCGCTCGCACCGGGCAGCCGCCCCTTCCTCATCCGCCCCGCGGTTCCCCAGCCGGCCCCGCCGCCGCCGCCGCCGCCTCCCTCCCGCTCTCACCGGCGCCATAGCGCTCCCGCCGCGCCGCTGCTGCAGAAAGGAAGTGCGCTGGGCCACGCAGCGCTTTTATACCCGCGGCAGTGACGTCAGCGCGCCGGGCGACGCGCGGGGCACGCCGGGAAGCGCCGGCGCTCCCGGGAAGATGGCGGCCCCGGCGAAGGGAATCCCATGTGGAATTTAATCCCGTGTGGAATTTCCTTGTGTTACACCCGCGGGAGGGGACGCGGCCCCACGCCCTCCTCCTCCTCCCGCACGAACCGCAACCGCCCGGCCCCCGCCCCTGGAAGTGGCCGCGAAGCCCCCTGGTAGCCCCACCGCGCTCCCGTGACTGTAACGAGCACCATGTCCCCACAGCACTGACACCTTTATTATTTCTGGAGCAAAACACACACACACGTACAAATCTTTCCCCTGATCGTTTCCATGGTGTTGAGAACAGTAACAGAGCTTCCCGAACAGACACCGGAGCTGCCGCCACGCCCGGATCTCGCGGCTGCAGGGCCGGGTTTGCCCCAGGAGCAGTGAGAGGCCCCGGGAGCAGCAGCAGCCAGGTTCGCTTACAACACACAGCACAGGACAAAGGGGTCTGCGATACAGCAAAGCACAGCAAACATTTCCTTGGAGTTCAACAAACCAAGTCACTCTCGGATGCCAAATACTGCAGGGCCACGGTGCAGGTGCTGGAGAGCCTCCGCCCACCTCCAGCCGAGCTGTGATCGCTCCAGATCCACACCTTCAGTGACATTCCCGTGGATACTCGAAATATCCTCAACAAGGTCTCTTTATAGCCTGAAGTTTAGTTCTACTGTAACAAACTACGTTCTAATTACTCAACCAAAAAAAAAAAAAAAAGTGGGATTTATTGAATTTTGAATTCTGTGAGACTGACCTGCAGTAACCATAAGAGTTAGAACTGTCAACAAACTTGACTTCTTTACAGATTATGTAAAATTATCTGTATTGTGAAACTACAGACCGTGCACCGTTTTCTGGGTACACTTCAGATTAGAAAAACCTGCAAGAGAAACAATGAACTTCAGCTTAAAAAAAAACAGCCCTGAGAACATGGCTCAACCAGCAAGAGCCCAGTTGAAAAACCACCATTATAAGCAAAAATTAGAAGGATCTACTGAATTCTCAAAGTATTATTTGCCAACATTTGAGGCAGGAAACACTGCAGTCTTTCCAATTGTGTGAAGTAGTAAGAGAAACTCAATGAACAGGAGCCATAAAAAAAGCATTATTTGGAGTGGAAATACCTCTCACCACCTCCCTGTGTTCACAGGCTTTACTCTAAGCAATTGCCATCAGCTATAAGTTTATGGTTTTGACACAATTTAAGTGTTAAGACAGTAATACAGAACAAATACACTGGTAAGATCTGTTTTAAAGTAAAGCTATGAAAGGAGAACTTCCCTAAGCACTTGGTTATGGATATTAAAAATACACCTCTATGGACTACTGATCACAAAGTTTGTTGCAACGATTCTGACAGGAAACTGAAGCGTCTTACTTTGGAAAAAAAAAATGCTTCAAATACATGTTTTTATTCAGAAGCAACTTTTAACCTTACTGAAACTTGGAGATTATGTTTTAAGACATGCTTATGTACCTATGGGAAACTTCATGCATGATGCTCTGCACTTCCGTGGTGTCTGAAGTGCTTCACAAAGACAACTAAGTATATAAGAACAAACCTATAATGAAGTACTTAATCATTTAAATCTTGCAGAACTGAAGGTTGCAATAGAAGGACATCTGGAAGTCCCCAGGAGGGCTCTTCCAGCAAGCTGGAGGTCATAAAACCTCTCTCTTCAGATTGCTGTAGTACCTGAAAACTCCAGTCAGGCCAGGACTGCACTTGCAGGAGCAGGGCTTAAGCCAGCCCTGGTCCCAGAGAGCTCAGTCCGAGTAACTGCTCAGATTGTGGGCCAGTGACCTCAAGAACCTGTCTTCCAACAAGGTTTTAGAGGACAGACAGGAACCTGAAAATAGCATTACCAGAGCAAGGACAAATTCAAGTCTTGTAGTTTTCAAGCATATTGGAAGTATTTGTAATGTGGTGAACTTGCATTAGTTTGACATAGCAACCTGTGACCTCCCATGTGACACCACACAGCTCAGCTCGCTGCCAGCATCGCCAGCAATGGTTACAGTCACCCCCAAAGCCAACAAAGCCTGACTTCCAGGTACCAGCTTGATGGAGAGGCAGACAGGAGCACAGTGCAGACTGGCCTGAACTATTCCTCCTCCACTTCAGAACTATTCTGAAAGCATTTCAATCTAGAGCTTCTTTCAAAAGCAGCTTTGCCATTTCAGTCAAGGTGCTATTTATAGAGCTCACCTGCAACATGTTTTGTGCTAGGTGAGAGTGTGTGGCAGGTCCTACCTCTGCCAGGTGTCCCAGGTAGCTGTGCTTTATTACCAGAGTGTATTTATTGCTGTCTTTACCTTCACTGGTACTGCTCTCCTTGGTGTGGGAAGCCTGTGGACAATGCATGCTTCTGCCACCTGCATTACGCCTCCAAGGTTTGCTAAGCCCTGCCCCAGGGTGGCCAAAGGCAGCTCAGGACAGTTGCCATGAGCCCTTTGGGGACTAGAGAGTACAAACTATGAAGCTGAAAACATCTGAAGCAGTTAAGAGCAGCATGGAGTCCAACCCTGGCTGCCAGTAGTGTGAGTTGTGCGTGCTGTCCGGGGCAGCTTCTGTGTCATCCTCCATCAGCCACTGAGCATTAAGGCAAGTTCATGAAACAATTTATCAGCTGTGAAGAGAGGCCTGAGCCAGGGACTAAGGAAGTTTCCCCCACTCATAAAGAGTCACCAAGTTTTAGAATTCAAGCTGAACACCTCAGAGAGGAGCAGGCTAATTATCCTTCCATAACTATTGCTGTGAAGCCTTGTTAAGCTACTAAATAGTCAGAGGCATGCATGCATGTTGCTATGACTCAGAACTCCCCAGGACAGGAGCCAGCTTCCCTAACTAGGTAGCAAGTTATTTACTTTTGTAGTGAAGCCATGGTTGTTCGGTATTGTCTATCAAGTTTATGTTTTGAAAATACAATAGTTTTATTAAAAAAAAAAAAAAAAAGAATCACATGCATTTAGTTTAGGCTCAATGCTACAGTTTGTCCCACTTTCTGAAAAATGTGTGGTCCCTGTGCTACAAAAATATGGTCTGAACCTGAAGGTTAAAACCTAAAGCTGGAAGCACTGCAACAGATTCCCATGGATTTTGTCACCCTTTTATAGTTTAAGATAAATATAATAAAGGAAAGCAATTGAACTGCATTTTTCTATTTTATTTTTCAAGTCTGACAAAGGCCTCGAGTGAAAGTCTATAGCTTTAACATCCATTCTCACCTTTGTGTCCCCTTGACCTATCTATGTCTTATCCACTCAATATTCCAAAGGCCTGCCTAAACCACAGGTAGGCTTTTTTTTTAAACCATTTTATCGTTACAATAAGCCAACAAGTTGGCAAAGAAGAAAACAGAGGTAATACAGTTTAGTTGCACATGGCCACTGGGGCTTGGTCAAGCCAGCTGGCATTTCTGATCACTTGAGTTTCTTGGTCTAAAAGTTGTGATTGGCACCTACAGTTCTGCAAGAGTCCCAATCCACAAAGTACTTAAGCTTTAAAAAAAGGAAAAAAAAAAAAAGCTACTTTTATTGTCAGTTCTACCTAAAGATGTCAAGAAAAATACTATTTGTGCTCTAGGTCACTTTATAATCCTAGATACCTACCAGCTTATCTAAAAGCCCCTGAATACTGTATTTTGTCTGTTCATACAGACAAACACTGTTTTGCTCAAGCAAATAAAAATATATCCACTAGTAACACCTGATTGGTTTCTTAGATCCATAGCTGAAACCCACAGGAATGTTAAAATAGTTACAATTAAGGAATTAAAATCTCAGTGATTTTGAAAACTGCCAGTTAGCCTGCAACACTAATCCAGAATCCAGCACTGCTTTTTAACAATTCAAAAAGGAAATGAGGTTGCTTGTGAAGGCCAGAGCTTTGGTGACAATAAGGACCAAATTTATAGATCTGTGGTTTGTCCAGACCTGAGCAGGTGCCCGAGCCTGGCGATCTTCTTTACTTGCAAGGCTTTATGGCTACAGCACATTCTTCATTCATTGCACTTATGACAGATATCTGGAAGAGAGGACACATAGGTGAGCCTACAGGAAGCGCTTCTAGAAGTTACAAACTTTCATATTTTATTATCTATCCCATCTCCTTTGAGTGCTCCAGGCCAAATGTCCTCCTACATCTCAAAGGACCAATTCCCACCCCTCAAGCCCACCCTTCACAAAAAGATACAAGCAGTCAATATCAGAGTAAGACTTCTTTGTTGTATCATTAAGTGGGATTAACCATAACTGTTCTTGTCTGCCCTCCCTACTTACCTGCACATCTTCATTGGCATTGAATTTTCCTTCTATTTCTTTGCCAAGATCCCCTTCTGGCAACTTTAGATCCTCACGAACTTCACCACTTTCTGTCAGCAGGGAGAGATACCCATCCTGAATGCCTATCAGCTGCAAAGAGAAGTTCATTTTCACAAGTTTAACATCAGCATTCACCAGCAGGTAGTAAGTAGCTTAATGTAAGCAGAAGGCAGTGAACTCTACCTGTTACAATAATTCTTTAGTACTCTGTAACAGTTAAAAACCTTATTTAAATCCATTTTTAACAGAAGTTCAGGGGGCTGAGAGTTCGGGCAACTGTAGCAAAAGGCATTCTGCTATCAAGAACCAAGAGAATTCTGCTGGTTACTTCCTAGTAGGTGAGACACTAGAAATGCTATCTGTGTGATTTAGGAAATGTACTGCTTCCAGGTCAGTGGTTCAGCTTTCTTTATCACTGAATTAGAAACAATAACTGGAATGGTATTCACTCAACAGCACTGCTTGTATAAAGTGTACAAAACACACAATAGTGCAACTATACACTTCTCTACCTGCATCTCTACAGTGAGATACTGTCATTTACAATAAGCACTAATAAATTAGGGAACATCCACCAAACCCTGGACCCCTTTTATAATGCTGTTTTCAGCCTAACCAAAAGCCTGGGCTAAGGGAAATGGCTATTTTGACAGAACAGGTTGGGGAATTTGGAACATGTAAATCCAAAGAATTAGAATCCCAGAACAATACACAAAGACCACCAAGATAACACTAAGAATTTCTTGGAAGGTCTGAGCCCTAAGACAAGCTGGTCACACTTTATTCCAACAGCATCAGCTGTCCTGAAGACACTAAAGAATGTTTGCTAGAACACTGAACTTAGCCTTTGTCAAGCAATTGCAGCTTTCCAGATTATGGGGATGTGTCAGCTCCTGACCAGAACTATTCCCAAAGAAATGAGAAGATAGCAAACATTTTACAACTCAACTGAACTGTGCTTTTAACAGCTCACCAACCACAGAAGGCATTACAGAAGTTGCCCCTTTCATACATGTATTTCAGTGCAGAGTTCAGGAACTTCAAAACTATTTGATACCACCTAAAGCCACTTTCCACACAAGGAGCAGAGAACTTTAGCAAGTTAAAATTCACATCCGATGCCATTTAGGACTGTCTTGGGGATTCATCTACCACATGTAATAGTGAAACTATAAATGACAATTTATGCTTAGATTCATATTTAGTTACAGGACATCTTGGTTCTCTTTTAACTAATATTAACTTGCAGCAGGGAAAGTCTCCATATTCTAAAGGATGCCAGTACCACAAAGAATCCAGAAGTGGTCTTATAACAATAGCTAGAAAAAGCATGGTATGAATTACGTCTATTACCTGTCATGCTTAGAGACTGCTACTCTGACCTGAGGTTGTTTATACACTAAGGAGCTCTCTCTCCATCAGTGAGTTTTGACAGTTTTAGCAAGTCAGTAAATGCTATGAGTTCAGCTATGTCATGTCTAGACAGGCAAGTCCCATTAATTTTGACAACAGCACTTTACTGAGAGGCTAATTTGGGGATGAAGAGAGTTTGTGTGTGGTACTAAGAGTATAAAGCCTTGTATGACTCTTAACTCACCTGGTAATCATTCCTCTTGATATTTGGGACATCCATGTTATGAGTTGATGGGCAAATATCTTCATATTTTTTACCAGTGAAGATATCAATACCAACCAAATGGACCTGTAAGAGTAGAAAAAACGCTTCAGTTACTGCTGGTCCTAGAGAAGCAAGATGTTATTGCCATCAGTGCTGCTGGTTCTACTCAGTTTCCTATGAGATCATGTGCAATCCCAGATTGTGCCTCAACCCTCTGCTTGTGGTATGAAAACATCCCTCACATGGAGAGGGGGCCTCTCACTCCCTTCCACAGCACACTACATGAGAGCAAGACCAGCTACTGTTATCTTCCACTGCCTTCTGTAGATTTACAGCAGCAAGTTAAGAGTTCACAGTGGTTAAGAACATGTTTATTTTAAGATCTAGCTGTTCTAAGAAACAGGCAGTTAAGGGGAAAATAGGTGGTCATGCACAGAGATCATAGCAGCTCCCACCTCCCTTTATGCCAGCTGCACTGCTTGCTGCAGCTAGAGCTTAGATGACCAGTTTAACCAGTTCTTTTCACGTCCTTTCCCTCTAACAGCTGTTTCTGTATTTAAGAAATTTGGAACCATCAATTAAAACAAGCCATAAAAAAAGAGAAAGGATAAAAGAAAAAACTAGGAAGAGCGTGGACAAACCCAAATACTCTACTGCCCTGCACATATCGCACAAGGTTGTGGAAACTTACGAATCTCTCTGTGCTTGTAACAGATCTGTCTCTAAACTCTGATACACCCACCCCAAAGTGTGGCTAAATGAATGAATGAATGAATGGTGATTTCAGCCTTGCTTCAAGCTCTGGACAGCTGCACGAGCCAACTGCTTGGGCAGCAGGGCTGCAGCCCCAGACAGCGGCTGAGAACGTCCCTGCTGGGACACGGGCGCTCCTCTCCCAGTGCTGGAATAAAGAAAGAAACTGCGAGGCAAAAGCGGCAGAACAGGGCCAGAGCAGGCCCTCAGAGTAACGCGTGTCCGCCGAGCTCTGGATTATGTAACGCAGCACGGGCACTCCTGCTCTAACACCGCAATTGTAAAAGTCTGCCGGCACGGGCAGACACAGAAGTGCTCTGGTGGGTAGCGGCAGCACAACCCAACCACGCCCTAGTGATTTCATCAGCCCCCCTTCCAGAACTTACTCTACCCCCACTACAGAAACTGATTGTGTCCCTATGAGCGTTAAGACTTTTTTTTAAAAAAGCGTTAACGAGTTAAAGTTGGGAGAAAAAAAACAACCCCCCGTCCTCAATCCTTTCTGCTTTACAGGACTGAAACCCCTTGAGCCTGCTCTGGAGTGATGAGACACCGTGCGAGAAAGGCAAAGGCGGGACACGGAGCCAAATGAAATGCTACACCCTCCCCTGTGGGCCAGCCGGGAGCCGCAGGAGCGCACACTGCGGGCTGGGCGACAGCCGGGCCGGCAGCGCTCACCTTGGCGTGGCCGTGCTTGCCGGTCTTGGAGGTGGACATCTCCACGATCTTGCAGGGGCGCCCCTTGAGCACCACGAAGCCGTTCTTGCGCAGCGCCGAGCACTGCATGGGGTAGGTGGAGGAGGCGCCGGCATCGCCCGTGGTGAAGTCGAGCTCGTCGGCCATGGCGGTGCGAGGGGGAGGGCTGGCGGCGGGGGGGGGCTGCGCGACAACGAGAGAGGGTCGGCACGGAGCCCCGGCGCTCGGAGGGGGAGAGGGGGACGGACACGGACCCAACCACGCACCGCGGGGAGCGCGGGCCGGGCTCCCCCGCCCCGCACACGTGCGCGGCGGGCGGGACCCGCCACGTGCCGCGGGCCCCCGGCCTCCCGCCCCCGGGCCTGCTTCGCCCCCCCTCCCTTCCCGTCCCCGCGGCCCCTGTTACCTTGTGAGGAGGATCGGGGGGTGCCGGGGGTCGCGGCGGTGCCGGGGGAGCGGGGCGGGAGCGGCGGGCGCGGCGCACTCGCGCCCGACACCACTGCGGCGGCCGGCGGGAAGGGGCGGCGCGGGCAGCGCGCGCACGGTCCGGCCCCGCCCCTCCACTTCCGCCGCCGCTGATTGGCCCGCGGCGATACCGCGGGGGGGGGCGGGCGTAGCCTTCCAGCCCCTCCCCCGAACCGCGTGCCGGCTGCGCTTCCCGCTCCCGCCCACTCGCGCGCGCTGGCCACGCCTCCTCCGGCGGGTGGGCCCAGGGCGCTGGGGAGGCGGCGCTCATCGGCCGCCAGGGGGCGCCTCCCCACAGCCCACACGCCCCGCCGCCATCTTGGGCCGCTGAGGCGGTCGCGGGTGCCTGAGAGCCGGTTGGGTGCGGCGGTGCGAGTTAGACCAGCACTGGGGGAAATGTGTGTCCCTAAAGTGTCCCTAAAATATCCCCAAAGCCGTGTGAGCCGCGTATGACTGTACACACAAAACTCCTTTGTCTGCCTCGTGTGCCCCCACTCAGAATAATCAGAAACGAGCGGTTTGAGACCATTATAATCAGTCTAAAGGGACGGAGATGGCTGAGATCCCTACCGAGGGCTTCTGTTTGATACTCTAGTAATGGTGGAATTATTAGTACTGGAATACTGTGGCCACCCCTATGTGGTAATCCCGACCATATGAAACAAATTGATCTGTTGGAGCAGATCCAGGGGAGGACCATGAAGGTGATCCTCTGTAAAGAAAGTTGGAATTGGGGTTGTTCAGCCTGGAAAAGAAGGTTCCAAGGAGATGTTGTTGCACTATTTCCATATATAAAGGAGGATTATGTGTAAGATAGAGACTTTTTACCAGGGCCTGTAGTGGCAGGATAGGAGCCAATGGTTTCAAACTGAAAAGAGGGAAGATTTGGAAAAACCGTGTTCAGAAAAACTGAGGATATCCCACCCTTGGAAGTGTTCCAGGCCAGAGTGGATAGGGTTTAGAGCAATCTGATCTAGTGAAAGATGTCTGTACCCATGGTAGGGGTTTGGAATAGATGATCTTCAAAGAGATTTTCCAATCCAAAGTATTCTAAACTATGACACAGCCCTCATCCTGTCCAACAACCATTCCCTCTCCCTCAGGAGAGGTCTGTGGCCATGGAAGCTTGATCAGGGGTCCTGAGGCCAAAGGACTGTTTTTACTAAATCTCTCCTAATCAGATGTCATCACACTTCGAGCTGTTTGAACAAATTCACCAGGAGCTTTCCTGTGAGCTGCTGGTGGATGAGCCCCAGCTCTATAGGGCACCCTGCAGATCACCTACAAACACAACAAAAACAGGAAAATGCAGGATTCAGTGGCAGTAATGGCAGCACCTGCCTCAGTCACACCACCACAGGCTGCTGTGTGCTGTCCTATGTTTTTTGCCCTGAGACCCTGACTTTGTCACCTGTGCTCTAATGGGGTAGCTACATAAGTCACTTTTAACACCACATTTTTAAATGGTTCACCATGAGATGTTTTATTTCATCTGTGTTAATTTTTGTGATTTGTTTGCCTGTGGTCCTGCTCTTGGTTACACACTCCAAATTTTACAGCCAAGGACTTAAGTTTGGCTCTCATTTACGTGGGGCCACTTCATGAGGCCCCAGCATCGTCTCTGCCCTTAACTTGGGCTTTCCCTGGATGCTGCCTCACCCAGCCTGCTCTGGAGATGATACACTTTATCCTGCCCGTTTTACTGCTGTCTCAGTCGATAAGCAGAATCTGGGGCATCCTGTTAAGTATTTTAACAAGTGCAGTGTGTGTTTGTTTACCTGTAAGTGTGTGATGAGTTGCACATGCTCCAGGGCTTCTTATCTTCTAAAAAAAACATTTTGTGAGAAAACGACCAACTGTTCTGAACCCAAACTGCAGCAGCCTGGAGCTAAACACTACTCATGACTTTTTTTTCCTCAAGTATCAGTTGATAAATTTGGCTGATTTTCCACAATTAACAGATTCATTTTGAATTACTTGAGAGATCTTCTGGGCTAAATCAAGTCTTTTTATTGAAGTGTGCTGTAGATGATATTAATTTTTTCAGACCGAAAACAAATATTCCAAGACAGCTTTTATTTGAGATTCAATAAAAAACATTGGAAATCCAATCCATCAGTTATTGCCTGCAGGCATAGTTCCTTTGTCTAGATCGACATTAATTTTCTAAAGTGCAGTTCTTGATAGTATTAATGTGATTATTCCACTTTTCTATACAAGAACAGCAATTTGATTCAAAGCATATTTGTAAATGAAATACCATGGCCTTTCACATTTAAAGGTGTTTTCTTTCCAGTGTTGCACACCTGGATCACACACCTTTTCTCTCAAGTAGGCTCAGAATGTTATCAAGTTTTTCTTCTCTTATTTGTGTCTTTAAGAAGTGAAGAGGGTCTAGAAAACCTCAGGAAGATTTAAACTGAGTGAGTTGTGTCTGTTCTCAGTTATGTCCTGGAGAAATGTCTGATGCCCTAAAGCACCTCCTCAAAGCCCAGCCTTGAGAATATGCATGTCAGCCAGTGCTGGGGTAAACATCCCACCTTGTTTCCAGAAACATCCCACCTGTTTCCAGGCGGCCCATGGAAGGCAGGAGGAGGTGTTTACACCTCTGGGCCGTAGGGTCAGGTCACACGATTAGAAATACCAGGTCATGAGCAGAGTGGTGTAAACAGCCCTGTTCCAACCTGAGCAGTGTCTCTGTTTCAGCTGCTGAGCTGACTTTCCTGGGATCCCACCATGTCCTGATGTTGGGATGAGGGTTCACACTGGCTTGTGGGCAGAGCCTTGAGCAGGAGGACCTGAGAGAAGCTGTGGATCAGTGACACCCCCTCCACAGGGCAGTGCCCCACTCAGCAGGCCCTCAGAGCTCCTGGGTACATGGGGTCAGGGATGCTCTGTAGTGACCTTGCCATAGGCACCCACTCTGCTCTGGGCACTGCTTTATTCCTGGCATTCACCAACTGCTTCCAGTGCTGAGCCCATGTGGGAACACCCAGGGAATCACCCTGGGCACAGGCTGGGGATCAGAGACAAGGGGTGACAGCACGGTGACACTGTGAGCTAGCAGGAACCGCTGTAATTGTAACTTCCCCACAGGGAAGGAGGAAAGCACAAAGTAACTCCAGCTGTTCCCTCCTCCTGGGGCTGCAACAGTGCTGCAGCAGTGATATTCCACCCTGATCTGGGGTTGCCTGAAGTTTTCCAGAGTCACAGAGCTGCTCTCCTGAACAGAGTGCAGGGAGGCAAAACACAGGACACTACCCAAGCCTCGGGTCTGCAGTTGTATCTACAGCTGTAAAATTTAAGGACTGCTGATCTGCAGCCAGGATTTATTGCCCCAGTGCTGGGGAGGAGATTCCTTCCCTTTCAGCACAGCTACTCAGGCTGTGCCTCTGGGTGAAATTTGCCACTGTTGCTTCAGGGTTTAGTGAAATACTTGAGCACACTCAGTTACCTTAAATTTAATCTGATGCTTACACATTCTGCTGGATCCAGACCTGATATCCTCCCTTGAAATTCCTCAACTCCCATAGATTTCCAGTGAAAGATAAGGACATTGAACACCTCAGAAAATTCATCATACCTCAAAGACTTTGTCCCTGCATACGTAGTACTTGGGTTAGCTTCATCATTATAGCTGTTTGACTCCAGAGATAGAGGGTAGTGCTTCTCAGTGATGAAAAACAAGTTGAAGTGAGGCAGAAAAACCTGTGATAAATTAGTGTGGAGAGTGTTAATGGGGCCAAATGTCCTGAGTTTATTGAATTAGGGAAGTCAAACTAATTTTAAAATTAAGCCTAGAGAGTGGGAGACTAGATACCGTTGGCACAACAGAAAAGTCCTAATGGCTGTTGTCTCAGCACATTAGGAAAACACTGTCAAAGCTCTTGCTGACAAGATGCTTTCTCAGGGATTATTAATTATATTGCATTATTATCCAGGCATGGTATGAGAACATATTTAGCATGTTACTAAAATGCAGTGACCATTTAGCTAATAAGTTTGACTTGGTCTTTTAAATTTTCTTAATGATTAGCAACTTAGTAAATCTGTAATGGTGAGAGATAAAAATAATGATTCAACAAGCTGTGTCTCAAGAGCAAGTTTTAACTGGAACTTGCATGTAGCAAGGACAGATAAAGTGTACAGTCCTAATTATCAGCCTGATGGGACGAGACAAAAGTAAACATATCGTCAGATTTAACTAACTCTAATGACCCCGTCCTGTGCTGGCATATGGCTAAAGTGCTCTTGTGGTAGTAAAGCCCAGCTTGATCCTTCACTGCAGCCATGGGGAGGACAAAGGGCCAGCAATGCCTTACTCTGCTCATCCTGTCCCAGGCTGGAAGGAGAAAACTCCCTTACCTTCCACATAGCAGCTGCTGCAAGGAAACACAGCCTGACACTCCATTTTCCTTAGGTGCCTCTGAACCCCCAGGCAGCTCTTCTGGGAAGTTCAGTGTTGTAGCTGTGGGCAGTGTTAATGCTGTGGGCTTTGTTAAACTGATTTATGTGCTGCGCTACAGTAACTGGACTGGGCTTTCTATTGTCATTCACCAGTGACACAGGAAAACCAGGACTGAGTGCTCAGTGTTGATCAGTAAGGCCCCTCACTGCTGAGCTGCTGGCAGAGTCACCGATGCCCCCCAGACAATAGGACAAAACTTAGCAGAAGTTTAGGAAATAATTTCGTACCCCCTGATCACAGGGAACCCAGCCTGGCTGGGCCTCAGAGCAGCAGCAAATCTGCTTTGAAACCCCATTTCTCCCCAAATGCTCCTCCTACCTCTTGTGCTTACAGAGGCCCCAGTGCCAGGTTTTAGGCTGTACCAGCCCCATGCAAGCAGAGGTGCTTCACAGTGGGGTGAAGGGGGCAGTGTGGACAGCTGGGCCAGACACTGGTACCCCTCCAGTCAGGGTCCATCCCACCCAAAGCCAGCTGCCACTGGCTCCAGGGCTGCCTCCAACCCCAAGTCTCACCTCTGGACCACCTGTTTCAAAGGGATTTAGCTGAGGGCTTGCACAGCTTTTACCACCTGTGGAGCAAA